AGCACTCTAGCATTTAGTGGGGAGCTCTGGTAGCATAATCTAAGGCACTTCACTGCTAAGCAGAAGACTGATGGTTCAAACCCACCAGCCACTCCTTGGAAGGAAGGTTGGGCAGTCTACTTCAGTTGTGATACCACCTCGGAAACCCAAGGAGGGGTTGCTATGAGTCGGGTCTGACTGGACGGTACATAACAACCCACAACAGTGTTTAATGATCTGGAGGGGTGGAAAAATTAGCAAAAGAAACTGAGGCAGGAGAAAAACTAAAAGTATCTAAAGGAATTGGCAGTTGAGTCATATGTTGCTGAGGTGTTAGGATGAAGAGTGAGAAGTGATCATTGGATTTGGTGACATGATAACTGTTGGCTCACCTTGATTCTGCAGTGAGAGATCCAGAAGCCAAACTGGGATAGGTTCAAAAGTGAATGGGGTGTGAGGGTAGAAATCTGTAGGAACTAAATCCTGTCCTCAGCATTACCAGCTTTAGGTTTCCCTTCTTCCAGAATATTTCATAAAGTCCCAAACTGAACTCATGCACTACCCTTCTAAATTTGTTCCTCTTTGTAAGTTTTCTATCTATACACAAAAAAACAAATTCACTGCAGTCCAGTTGGTCCCAGCTCATAGTGACCCCTCCTTGGGTTTCCAAGGCGGTATCTCTACGGATGTGGATTGCCCCGTCTTCCTTCAGAGGAGTGGATCGTGGGTTTGAACTGCCAGCATTCTGGTTGGCAGTCAAATGCCTTAGGCGCTATGCCACCAGAGCTCCCTTTCTACCTGTAGTGTTAATGACTTTTCTTTCCTTCCAGTGATCTAGGCTAGACCCTTTAGGTTTTTGTACTCTTTTCCTTCCTCATTTATCCCTACTTAATCAGTTGCCATGGGCTATTGAGTCTTTTCCACAGTGTTATTCAAATTGGACTTCTTTTCATTGATATTGCTGCTTATGCTGCTCTTGCCAAACACTAAATACAAACTCCTCTAATAGTTTCTGAAGTATTCCGTGCTTTTATTCTCTTTCTTGACAGTGCATCTACCCATCACAGTTAGAATGTTTTTCCTAAAGCACAGCTTTGCTCATGTTATTTTCCTGCTAAAAATAAAACCAAATCCTTTTAGCCTGGCATTCAGAACCTTCTACATTTTTAACCTTACCTCCCACTGCTTTCTCTTCATTCAACCTGCTGCTCTGAAGTATATACTGTTTCCTAAATATAACTTAAGGAGCTCTGGTGGCACTGTGGTTCAAGTCTTCGGCTGCTAACCAAAAGATCAGTTCGACTCTGCCAGCCACTCTGTGGGAGAAAGATGTGCTGCTTCCGTAAAGATTTAGCCTTTGAGAGCCTGTGGGCAGTTCTACTCTGCCCTAAAGAGTCGCTTAGGAACTCTGGTAGCATAGTGCCTAAGGCACTTGACTGCTAACCAGAAGGCTGGCGGTTCAAACCCACCAGCCACTCCTCCGAAGGAAGGTTGGACAATCTACTTCCATAGTGATACTGCCTTGGCAACCTAAGGAGGGGTTGCTATGAGTCGGGGCCGACTCAATGGCACATAACAACAACAACAACAAAGGGTCACTATGAGTCAGAACCAATTTGATGACAGTGGGTTTGGTTTTGTTTTTTGAAATATAATGTGGCCGCTGTGCCTTCACTTTCATTGTTACCTGTGCTTGACCTGCCATCTTCTCCCAAAACTTACACATCTTCTATATTTCCAAATGCCAAGTACCTCTAAAAAATGATAGAGCATGCCCTAAAAATTATGAAATTTCAAGCGTTCCGTGCTACTGATTTAGTTTATCCGTTCTGTATAACCTCTGCAATACTGATTTACCTAAAACAACAGTTACCTGTATCACCTCCACCTCAGCCAATATTCTTTTCTAGGAATTGGGAGCAAGAATGATGTACTCTCTGAAAGAATATTCTTGAAAATGTTACCAGCAGTTGTGCAGTTGGGGGTCATGATACTCCGTAAATAGAGAATGCTAAGAAAGGGCACCCTCATAGGCCTGCCCTCTGTTTTTAACAGCAGCTTACCATTGGTTTGATGAAGGAGCCCAAAGTCTGAAAAATGAGCCTGGCCACTCCAGATGAAAGCAGCTTTCCTCAAGTGGGCAATTTCACATTAATGTGAGAGACACTGGGTTCTTTATCTTATAGTTGTTGATATTTGGGGATGGGTACACAGGAAGAGGAATGTGTGTGAAATTGCTTTTAAAAACAAGGAGGTACCTTTTAGAAATTTTGCTCTCTACGCATTCTGAAAGAAGAAAAGCAGAGGAGCTCTCTAAAGACTATAGTTAAAGAAAGAAGAATTACTTATCAGAATATTGAATTTAGTTTTCTGTCAAACCTCCATCAGTGGTCCTAGGGAATTGCTGATGTTAGGCAAAGAAATAAATTGAAGGTATCTTTTCAGGATGGTCTCTTACTGGTATATGTTTATAGCTTGCCTTTGTGTTAGACATTTTGGCTTCATCCCATAATTTGAGTATAAACCAGGTTTTGGGCTTGTTGAATCTGTACCTAATTAAGTTTTTTATGAAAGGAATTGGACTGTTGGCTAAAGAAAAGTGCATGATTTTATTTTAAAAGATGGTAATGAAAATGACTTTCTCTTCCTTAGTTACTGAGCTATGGTGCGGGAGCATTGTATGGAAAAGGTATGTTTGGGAAAAGAGGAATGTGATGACCATTTGGTTTAAGAACCTTCACTTTGGCTCTTGCAAGGATATTATCTGCTTGGCCTTTCCGTGGACACCTTTCCATGGACACCTGTCCAGTCTTTCCTACCAGCTGTGAATTGTAGTCAGCTATTTGGAACATGAGGGGTATTTTAATAGCAGTGTGTAACACTGGTTTGAGAAATTAAAACATCTCTAACTTTTTAGTAAAGTCTAGAGTGTAAATAAAAAATGCCTTATACTTTGAATGGGAAAATAGACTTTTACTAAATAAAATTATGTCTTCAAAATTACTTTTAATTAAGGGACCAGGTTTGCTGGTCTGATAGAGACTCGTGAAACTCCTGAGACTATTGCCCTTAGCTGCCCTTCAGGTGTGGAACTGAACCCTTTCCTGTGGCTTCCAACCGAACAAAAGACAGGCATATGAGCTGAACATTTACATTAGGTAGATGCAGTCGTTGGAGAGATCAGTCATGGGAGAATAGAAGGGCTGTGTATGCACAGGGAGACAACTCGGGGGGCAGGAGTGCATGGGAGGGAAGGACACAGGGAAGAGGTATCTATGGGGAGGAAGTGGGAAGGGAGCTGTTGCATTGTGGGAAATTGGAGTCAATGTTAGGAGACAAAAGTATATGTCTGCTGCTGTATGGAAAATGAATTTGCTTTGTAAATTTTCACCAAATCACAATAAAAATTTTTTTTAAATGTATATGAAAGAAAATTACTTTTAAGTAACACTGATAATGAGAAAAATATATATTATAAAATAGAGGGAAACCTAAGAACAACTTGCTTTGACTCCTTTGTTTTTAAAAAAATGCTTTGTTTTACATCTGTTTATCTATTTTATCCTGCTGTACATTTTCCCAGGAAACTTTGTATTTCAGCAGCATCTTTAATTGGCATTGACAAAATAAACAAATCAGAGGACTACCCCAAGGCTTGACCCTTTCATGGCAGGATGAACTATGGACCTCACTCCTTTGATATGTGTCTTCCTTTTTCATTTGAAAGAAGAAACACTGCTCCTATTCTTGATAATTTCTAATTTGAAAACTCTATTTAATGTTTATCAATGGAGGAAAAATTATCTTCAGTGCTTTTATAAACTGATTCTTACATGTTTTGTGAGGTGGCTTGTAGCCAGAAGTAAAATGCTGAGTTTTCTAATTAGTGTTTTAATAGTTTAAATTTTGGTAGAATTTTTTTGGGTCATTAATAGTGGAATAGTAGAAATAACTGCAAATAGTTGTTAATTGTATTGATAATTTCAGTAAAGCGTAATTGATAATTAATTCAAAAATACCACTCTGAGCATTTAAAGTACATATATTTTTGTTACAACGTAATAGAAGTTTCCATTAGGAGTAGGTTATTTAAAATTTGCATTTTCTTTTTTTTCTACAGGAAGGAACTTGAAACCTTCAAAGGTAATGTGCTTATTTCTTTCCTGAATAATAGTTGAGAGTTAATTCATGTCAGATGCTCTCTTGATGATGAAAGAACTCATTCCTTGTTTAAGAAATGTTTACAAAAAAAAAAAAAAAACCTGTTTACATCAAAAAGTAAGTTTGCTTAGTACTATTTTTGTAGGCCTTATTTTATCACAAGTGATTTTGATATTCTCCTTTAGCTATGGCACATGCTTCAAGTGAGAGTCATTGTTAAGGCCTGTTGTAAGTAATATGTCAAGAAGGAATCCTGCTAACCTTGGGGTTGGTGAGCATGATTGTCCCAAAAGACTCCAGTTTCTGTTGTGGAATGTATGATCCCATGGAGAGGAGGTGATGATAAAGATGAAGATGTCCCCCTGCAACTGACCCGGCAGTCACTTGACCCTCCTGAGAGGTTTTCTGTTCTGGGACCTGTACTATGCTAGTACTTTGTACCTGTTTTAGGCCCTGTTTCTCCGTATATAAAACTAGAGGCTTCGACAAAATACATTTTGTGATTCTGAAATCATTCAGCATTCAGGGAGTTTCTGAGGGGAGGAGCAGGGAAGAAGTTCTGTAGTGTTTCAGTGAGAAACACTAATAGAAAAACAGGACCTTTCAATTTACCAATTTTTCCCCATTGTTTTTAGTTGCCACCAGGTCAACTCTGATGCATGGTGATCTCTTATATATCATCTTCACAATTGTTGGTGTGTTTGAGTCCATTGTTGAGGCTGTTGTGTCAGTCCATCCCATTGAAGGTCTGTCTCGTTTTTGCTGCCCTTTTTCTTTACTTGACCATATTGCTCTTGTGTAGGGATTGATCTTCCCTGCTGACATGATGCAGTCTCTCTCCTCACTTCTAAGGAACATTTATTTTCCTTACATTCTTTCTTTATAGTCCCAGTTACTCATTTGCCATTAAATAGCAGAAATCACTATTCTCAGAGAGACTTACTTAAATTAAAAGAAGACTTGATGGGGGGGGTGTGGACCAAACATTGTATAGAGTCTGTTTTTACTCATAGAGACCATATAGGACAGAGCACAGTGCCCCATAGGGTTTCCCAGGCTGTAAGTCTTTAAGGAAGCAGACTGCCACATCTTTCTCCTACTTAGCAGTTGGTGAATTTATACCACTGACCTTTTGGTTAGCACTTTACCACTGTACCACCAAGGCTTCTGGGACACTGAATTACTTATTAAATCACTTCTGATTTAATTGTTTTATGCTTATTACATTTCACATATAAACTAGCACTGACCTTTGGATTTACTGGATAATTAAGTACATTCTAATACATAGTTGAATTGTTGATGTGTTTAATCTGTTTGATTGTTTTAGATAAAATGACTAACCCTTGGGAAAAGAGGTATAAGGACTTATTCTTAGTGTGGCTGTAATTGAACAGACTTGTTGACTCAATTTCTATTTGACTGACTGAAGTTATAGTAAATGATTAAGTTCGTGGCTAGCTTGTTGAGGGGAATGTTAAATGATCATGTGATATTTTATCATGGCTGTCATTGTTCTTATTCAACTTGTGAGCCACTGCCCATGTTCATTATTTTTCATCAGTAGTTTGAAATAAGATTTAAAATCCTGATAAATTGCCCCCTCATTCTTTCCTTCAGTTGACTAGTTTAGCATCCTTTTATGTAACAGTAAGAAGAGGAGGGGAAAGCAGTCAAGTTAATACTAAAAGACAAGCAAGGATGCAGATTATGTAAAATGTCAGTTTTATTTGCCTTTCAGGACTGAGACATTCTTTTTTATGGTATGACAGTGTTCACAGCGTAAGGAAAAAAAAACACCAGTATGCAAAAGGTTAGATAGATGACATATTACCCAATAGACTAATTCAATTTCAACTGAAATAATCTTGTTTATACACACATCCCTAATTATGTGCATCATTAACAGCACATCATATCCACCCACAGGCCAATTAAAGCTCTTGATTTTGAACAAACCTAAATTGATTACTGCATCTTACGTAGTTTTTTTTTTTTTTTAATATATCAATGATCATTAAAAATTCTTCCTCTTGAGTGTTTTGCTAATATTTCAGGAACATGAGTAGTATATAACAGCAACAAAAAAATATGCTACTCTTCCAAGATATTTATGGAGAGGAAAAGAAAAAAATCATTCAAACATTGTAACAATTTATTATTTTTTGAACATTGCCTTTGTTTTTCCTCTTCGTGTTGCAAGAAAACAAAAGGTGTTACTTCTTCTAAGTTTCTTGTTTTGTTTTGTTTTTCCCACCTCTAGTTATATTTAGTAGCTCTTTTCTAAGTTAAAGAACTAAATTTTGGACCAAAACTCAAGTTAGTGACCCCTGAAGTTAATAATATAGGTCAAGTATGTGTAAGGCACTTGATTGCTAATCAGAAGGCTGGTGGTTCAAACCCACCAGCCACTCCTCGGAAAGAAGATGGGGCAATCTACTTCCGTAGTGATACTGTCTCGGAAACCCAAGGAGGGGTCGCTATGAGTGGGGTCTGACTGAACAGCACATAACAACAACAACAACAACATCATCCCTCACTGAGATCTGAGTTCTCCCATCTGTACTTCTTTGAGGTTAATGAATTAAGTCCACCTTTCACTTTTGCCACATATGATAAATCTCTACAATGTTATTAAAACCAGTTGTTGTTTATATTTTAATATTGGCAGCAGGAAGGTTTTCTATGTTCTTCAAATATTACATTCCTTTAAAGTTTCTAGTAACAGTCACTTGAATATTAGACTATAAAAAGACGAGGACAGAATTGTAAAACTCCTAAGTTTATGTTGTTCATCAGGAAGGAATTTCATTATATGCACATGTAAAGTAACTAAGGTTTTTCACAGTCTTTAAAGACATGGGAAATTGGCCATGAATAGACATGTTTGTTATTCAGGATTTGTTAGTTTTTCAATTTAATTTTTTAAATAGATTATCATCCCATGCAGAAGTTTTAAAATTACCCTTAAGGTTTTTTATTTGAAATATAATACTAGAAATATCGTGCCACTGAAAAAATAAAGGTAAAAATATCTAGGATTGTGTGTTTTTACTGCCATAAGAGTCCTGACTTAACACATCTTTAGTATGCAGTCTTGGTCTTTTACCTACACTCAGGTGCCTTGTGAAATTAGCCATCATTCTCTGTTTCCTCTATAAAACACACCCACTGATAAGCACAGTGTGCTGAATGCCCATGGCTGGTAGACTGTTCTCTGTTGTTGTTATGTGCCGTCGAGTCAGACCCGACTCATAGCCACCCCTCCTTGGGTTTCCGAGGCACTCTGGTAGCATAGTGGCTAAAGCACTTGACTGCTAACCAGAAGGCTGGCGGTTCAAACCCACCAGCCACTCCTCGGAAGGAAGGTTGGGCAATCCTACTTCCGTAGTGATACTGCCTCGGAAACCCAAGGAGGGGTCGCTATGAGTCAGGGCGACTCGATGGCATATAACAACAACAACAACAACATCACTACAGAAGTAGATTGCCCCATCTTCCTTCCGAGGAGTGGCTGGTGGGTTTGAGCCGCCAGCCTTCTGGTTAGCAGTCAAGTGCCTTAGCCACTACGCTACCAGACTGCTCTCTAGTACATCTAAATACTTCTCCTTCTATCAGTTCAGTTATCAACCCAGAGTGGTTGTTTGCTCCTGAATTCATTTATGCTAGTTGTACATGCTGTTATAATATACAATTGAATTAATACTAGATAAAATGACTAAACCTCAATGTTAAGGAGAACTGTTTGTGAGAAAACTAAATTGGCTGTTTTGGAAAGACTTATATAGGTAAACCAAACCAAACCAAACTCGCTGCGACCCCTCCTTGGATTTCTGAGGTGGTATAACTATGGAAGTAGATTGCTCAATCTTCCTCCCGAGGAGTGGCTGGTGGATTTAAACTGCCATCCTCTGGTTAGCAGTCAAATGCCTTAGGCACTACGCTACCAGAGCTCTTACATAGGTAAATGGCTTTTTAAAAAAAAAAAAATTCTGGAAAAGGTACAGTTAAGAATTAGAAAATATTTTGGGAAAAAATCATTAAAAATCTTGTAAGATCTTTGCACACATTGTATAACATGTCTTAAATTTCTGCTCTGCTTTCGAAATAGACTAAAAATTGTATCCAGTACAATCTGGATGGGTGGCTTACATAAGAATTTCAATTCAGTAGACCCATGCTTACAGAAATCATGAAGTAAAAACAAAAATTATGGTTATAATGTACACTGTGTGTGTGTATGTATAAATATGTAAATGGATTCCTATATTAGCCACTTCTATGAAAAATTAAATGACCAAAATAGGTCCCAATTTTATCATAATAAGAGGTGTAGTCCCTTACTCAACATAATATTCTCTGATCTTGTCAGAAATGTGACTAGCAAATGGAAAAGGCAGCTGAAGCATGCATAATATGGTATGACCACATTTAAGACTTAGCTCTTGAAAAGATCAGGCCAGAGTGGTCAGAGGAATAGGAAGAAAACCAAGAAAATTTAGTGACAAGAAAGCCCAGAAAAGAGAAAATTTAAAAGACAAATGGGTATTCATGGTATCAGGGGTATAAATAATACAAAGAAGTTGAGCAGAATGGGTGATAATGAGTAGGTAATTGGTGATGGGAAAAGAGGTATTTGTAGAGGGAGAATCTAGATTGCAAATCAGAAGTATGTGAAAAGTTAGGAAATAAGAATAACATGAATTAACTATTCTTTTATTAATTGAAGACAAGAAATAAAAAGATAACCTGAGATAGAATCAGGGTCAAGGTCCAAGAAAAAAGGTGAAATTGAAAATGTTAAAGGAGATGATTGTGATCCTAGAGAAGATAGAAAGAAATGATAACCACATAAATTACCCTTGTCTTTCTCTGAGACCCTAGACAAGGATGGTTGATGATACAGCAAAAAGTTGACATGGAGAGAGGAAATAATTTTTGAGAATCCATGTGAGAAAGGATAGCTGAATTCTGAGCTAGGC